CAGGATGAGTATGGGGTGCACAATAAACTGCCACTCACAGGATGAGTATAGGGTGCACAATAAACTGCCACTCACAGGATGAGTATGGGGTGCACAATAAACTGCCACTCACAGGATGAGTATGGGGTGCACAATAAACTGCCACTCACAGGATGAGTATGGGGTGCACAATAAACTGCCACTCACAGGATGAGTATAGGGTGCACAATAAACTGCCACTCACAGGATGAGTATAGGGTGCACAATAAACTGCCACTCACAGGATGAGTATGGGGTGCACAATAAACTGCCACTCACAGGATGAGTATAGGGTGCACAATAAACTGCCACTCACAGGATGAGTATGGGGTGCACAATAAACTGCCACTCACAGGATGAGTATGGGGTGCACAATAAACTACCACTCACAGGATGAGTATGGGGTGCACAATAAACTGCCACTCACAGGATGAGTATGGGGTGCACAATAAACTGCCACTCACAGGATGAGTATGGGGTGCACAATAAACTGCCACTCACAGGATGAGTATGGGGTGCACAATAAACTGCCACTCACAGGATGAGTATGGGGTGCACAATAAACTACCACTCACAGGATGAGTATGGGGTGCACACAATAATACTGCCACTCACAGGATGAGTATAGGGTGCACAATAAACTGCCACTCACAGGATGAGTATGGGGTGCACAATAAACTACCACTCACAGGATGAGTATGGGGTGCACAATAAACTGCCACTCACAGGATGAGTATGGGGTGCACAATAAACTGCCACTCACAGGATGAGTATGGGGTGCACAATAAACTGCCACTCACAGGATGAGTATAGGGTGCACAATAAACTGCCACTCACAGGATGAGTATAGGGTGCACAATAAACTGCCACTCACAGGATGAGTATAGGGTGCACAATAAACTGCCACTCACAGGATGAGTATAGGGTGCACAATAAACTGCCACTCACAGGATGAGTATAGGGTGCACAATAAACTGCCACTCACAGGATGAGTATGGGGTGCACAATAAACTGCCACTCACAGGATGAGTATGGGGTGCACAATAAACTGCCACTCACAGGATGAGTATGGGGTGCACAATAAACTGCCACTCACAGGATGAGTATAGGGTGCACAATAAACTGCCACTCACAGGATGAGTATAGGGTGCACAATAAACTGCCACTCACAGGATGAGTATGGGGTGCACAATAAACTGCCACTCACAGGATGAGTATAGGGTGCACAATAAACTGCCACTCACAGGATGAGTATGGGGTGCACAATAAACTGCCACTCACAGGATGAGTATGGGGTGCACAATAAACTGCCACTCACAGGATGAGTATAGGGTGCACAATAAACTGCCACTCACAGGATGAGTATAGGGTGCACAATAAACTGCCACTCACAGGATGAGTATAGGGTGCACAATAAACTGCCACTCACAGGATGAGTATGGGGTGCACAACTAACCGCCGGATAAAACATTAAGCATGATCATTTAAAATTTTACTTGCGTCAAATCCTGAGAATGGGCTGGATTGTCACCTTTTATTTTTGTTTATTTATAGAGAGAGAGAGAACTTTCACAAGTAGTAGAGCTGCGAGGTTCTGCAGGCTCTAGAGCAGCCATGACCAAACATGTGTGTTAACCTGCTTGATGCGGTTCTGGGAGCTGTTCTACTCCCCAAGCCCGGCCCGAGGCCAGGCTTGACCTGGCCTCAGAGGGGGTGTTATTCCAGCTTTTATATGCCTACTTTCATAAGGATTACTAAATAAACTACAGTACCTGGATCCACTGAAATTTTGTTTGAGGAAAGGAAAAATGGTTAAATATTTAAGTTTCATGCTGGCTCTGTTTTGGTTTAGTTAGAGTAATGGTAATAAGCAATATAAATGGCATTTGTGTGTTACGTGCAGCTGTCCAATCTGTAGTCTGGTGGCAGAAAATGTCAAGGTAGTATAACGCATCCAGTATGGCTTTTTTCTTTCCATGCAGATGACGCAGCAAAAACTGGACTCATAAGAACAAGCTTCTGGTACACTAGTTTCTGGGACCATAATAGGACTGGCTTCCGGCTAGCCGGCATCTGGGCAAGCTGGCCTCTCGGGCGAAAAATGATGTTCCATTCAAGATTTCATCAACGTTTTGCTTCTTCTGAATAAGCAGATATTTCAGCAGAGGTCCCACTTATCACACTGTGAATCTTGGCGGCTAATTGCTTCCAAAACATTTTTTGGCCATGGTTATTTTCCAGTGTTTACGTTATTAACACTGCATATTTGATTTTTTTAAAAGTACTTTTCAATATCCAAACCCAATTCATTAAAACCATCTTGCTATTTACGGTAACAAATAATCCAAGTTGTAGCTTTTACAAAGTCCAGTCTAACACAATCGCATTAAAGCTTATTCTTAAAACTATAGTATTGATGTGTCAATATTAAGGCCATCATTAATGATGGTTTAAAACCATTAAACATGGTTTTCTAGTTATACCTAAGAACTTTATGTTAACCCTTACTGTATATATGATCTGCTTCAAACAAAATTTTTCCATGTAGCAAAAGCAGACTTGCATAATCCATTTGATTTCAGCCCCTTACATTGAAGGCATTTTTGTGTTTATGTCCTACAATAATACAGTACACAATATATATTCAACAAATGCATTTATCATGCGATCCCATACAGAAGCATCTATTACCACTATTTATACAACAGCATGCAATTTCATGCAATGATGACCAAACCAAATACAATGGGGCCTCGACTTACGATGCTAATCTGTTCCCAGAGACAGAGCGTAAGTCGAAATATCATAAGTCGAAGCGATTTTTCCCATAAGAAATAAAGGGAATTGAATTAATCTGTTCCCCACCCTCCAAAATATTAACATACAAGTACATTTTATACTGAATACAATGTTTTTTTCTAACTACAATACAGTACCTAAGTTTCTCTTACCTTTATGGAGGGCTCTTGATGGCGTATGGAAGATGGTGATGAGGGGGGAGGAGGAGAGATGTCACTGTTTGGAAGGGGAGTCCCCTTCCATTATCACATCAGGCAGTGATGTTTTCTCTGGGGTACTCTCTCTCCTACGTTTTGCCTGAACACCACTAGGACCTGGTTGTGATTAAATGCTTGTTTGTCTCACTACAAATTTGTCGAGACATTTGTGTTTCCCTTTGTTTTAACATTTGTCTGTAATGATGCATCACAGTGTCATTGAATAGGTTAAGGCAACGGCCTACTGCAGCTTGATTTGGCGAGTCCTTTCAGCAAAGGTTTGCAATTCTTCCCATGATGCACACATTTTCCTAATTGTTGAGGAAGAGACATTCTGTACTCTTGTTTCTGCTCTATTGTCATCCTTACATGGGTTTTCATATGTTGAGCCTTACCACTGACTTTAATGGGACTCATGGCGTGATATATAATAATTACTTTAATGTTCAAAATGCAAAAAATCACCACAAAAACGGAATTTCTTATAGGCGCGATCGTCACTAAGCGGGCAGCTGTAGTAAACTGAGGCAGATCGTCCGCGTGACCAGGAACCACGTGCTCGGTCGACCCGAACGTGTACCAACAAATATCGGAAGTCGACGACACCATCGGATGTCGTGTCGCATTTTTCGATGAAATTTACATCGTAACTCGAAATTATCGTAAGTAGGGGCAATCGTATGTCGAGGTGCCACTGTACCATAGATGAAGAAACTACGACATTTCAAGTCAATTATCAAGTTGATTGTGATAATCAACAATAATAGTCCAGGATGGAGCAAAACGTCGTCGTTTCTTCACCTTCTGGTGTGTGGTTTGGTCATCATATCTTCAGCCATGTTATTGTGACTCATCATCTGCAATTACATACACCTTGCAATATCATACAGCAGCAGGAGCCGGTCGGCAGAGCGGACAGCACGCTGGACTTGTGATCCTGTGGTCCCGGGTTCGATCCCGGGCGCCGGCAAGAAACAATGGGCAGAGTTTCTTTCACCCTATGCCTCCTGTTACCTAGCAGTAAAATAGGTACCTGGGTGTTAGTCAGCTGTCACGGACTGCTTCTTGGGGGTGGAGGCCTGGTTAAGAACCGGGCCGCGGGGACACTAAAAAGCCCCGAAATCATCTCAAGGTAATCTCAAGATAGCATTCAAGACCATGCAAGATACACCACCAAAATCCAGGCAGACAGCTGGACAATGTTGCACATCTCTGGCATATAAACATCCCAAGTTACAACACCCACTATTGCACAACACCTGGTACATAATTGCTTAACCCTTAAACTGTGCAGCTATTTAAGACCACTATATCAAGGTTTATGTTTAAAAATAATCAAATAAAAAAGGGACAACTAGTGACACATGGCATTTGGAGCATAGAAGGAAAGATGCATGTAGGGACTAAAGCACAGAAGGAAAGTTGCATGTAGGGAGTAAAGCACAGAAGGAAATTGCATAGCCATAAGGCAGTTAGTGTGGTGAGAATCGTGCGAGGATCAAGCTCAAATATGCAAGACATAAGTGTACAACCAGCAAAGGTGCAGGAATACATGTTCAAGCTTAAAACCTAATGGTTTCAATATTCTCATTACTAAAATATTTGCTGAAGTAGGCACACTTACTGTGCTATACACAATTACTGTATAATACACCATAGTCTAGTAGAATACAGCACATTCATATTTGTAATAATTAAGTGCAGGGCATGCAAGAGCACACACACACAAAAAAAGGTGGAATTTAAATATGGTAACCAAAACAATAAAGAAAACCAGCAAATATATCACATGTATAAATTATAACCACTAAAAAAATTGCAAACCTAAACAGGACACCATCAGTAAAAATATAATAAAGAGGGCTTAAAACAACTAAAACTAATGCTACAATACAAAAAAAAAAATTGCAAAATCAGCAAACATTAAAATGACAAAGAGCGTACATACACAAGAGGATACAAGAGCTGCAAAAATTATGTACTTACTGTCTGTTCTGTCCCCACCTGAACACAAGAGAACAAACGATAAAAGAGAATTAGTAATGTTAAAATCAAATGCGCCTAAATGTAATGAAACAAAGCCCTGGAAAAGCAGTTAATTTTGTAATGTGCTCATTCATCAACAGAACATACATACAAGCTATATTTTTAAACCTAACTTATGTTAATTACTTAAAATGAAAGCTATTTTTCATTATTATTACAGCACTCTAGAAAAATGTAAAAATAAAAAAAGAGTAATAGCACAAGATGCACAACAATAGCCTGGTCAAACATGTGTATAATGTTGTGTTCAACACGACACTCTATTATCCGAGATTAATCCCGCCTTGTTCAAGGACTGCTGCCATCTTATATCATTATGCACTACTGCAGACCATCACCAAAACTATATGGCACACTGGTCAATCTGTATTAAACCTTATAATTCTAACTTATTCTTTAAACAAAATGACCTACATAAACCCTAAGACTATAGTCAAATAAAACAATGCTAAAATAAATATTAAAAAAAATTGCAAAATCAGGAAATATCCTACAATTCAGCTTTATGCTTTTAACTTAAAGTTCAAACCAGTGTAACTTTCATCAGCACCTACAACAGCCCAAATTTGAATTATCACGAATCAGATTCCAATAAGGCTTAAAACAGCCTACAAAATTATAGAACAGATGACTTATTTGACTATAAATATGGCGCAACAAAACTTGTAACAGTTTTTTCACCAGCAAGAGTTTAAGGCCAGATCACAACTAAGTAACTTTCCCTAACCACAACATGAAGCCACATACCACCCCAATCCTCACACATTTGAGAAGGCGGTGGAAGCCAAAACCATCAGTAGTTTCAAAGCATTATATGAGTGCTGGGAAGATGGGGCACCACGAGCATAGCTCTTATCCTGTAACTACACTTCAGTAATTACTTACCCAAATGCTGTAGTGCTCTCAAGTTCCAATTTAACTTTGAACTTTAAACCAGCTTATTAGCAACAATTTTGTAAAATCTTCCTGTAACCCAGCCTGCTATATACGTAAACACACACACACACACGCAGTAGGCCAGACAGGAACAGCAAGCAGTTTATACATACACTAAGAACCAGAACCATGCAAATCTATGCTTAGGCAGCTCATCACATTTCCTGTAATTTTTTCCTTATTATGCAATACAGTACAGAGAATATATTCTCCTATTCTGACGACCTTTAATTCATCAACTTCTACATTTGATATTTAAGGCAAACAAGGTGACTAAAACATTCAGGAAATTGATTTTCAGGAAATTGAAATTCAGGAAACAATCAGGGGGGGGGGCGCTTGAGTGTTTTACCACTGCACCACGGGACTGCTTACTCCCTATCAACCTCTGGAGGGTTATTAAGGCAACCACCAAGTGCTCACCAACAGACCACCAAGTGCTCACCAACCCACCACCAAGTGCTCACCAACCCACCACCAAGTGCTCACCAACCCACCACCAAGTGCTCACCAACAGACCACCAAGTGCTCACCGACCCACCACCAAGTGCTCACCAACAGACCACCAAGTGCTCACCAACAGACCACCAAGTGCTCACCAACCCACCACCAAGTGCTCACCAACAGACCACCAAGTGCTCACCGACCCACCACCAAGTGCTCACCGACCCACCACCAAGTGCTCACCGACCCACCACCAAGTGCTCACCAACAGACCACCAAGTGCTCACCAACAGACCACCAAGTGCTCACCGACCCACCACCAAGTGCTCACCAACAGACCACCAAGTGCTCACCGACCCACCACCAAGTGCTCACCAACAGACCACCAAGTGCTCACCAACAGACCACCAAGTGCTCACCGACCCACCACCAAGTGCTCACCAACAGACCACCAAGTGCTCACCGACCCACCACCAAGTGCTCACCAACAGACCACCAAGTGCTCACCGACCCACCACCAAGTGCTCACCAACAGACCACCAAGTGCTCACCGACCCACCACCAAGTGCTCACCAACAGACCACCAAGTGCTCACCGACCCACCACCAAGTGCTCACCAACAGACCACCAAGTGCTCACCGACCAGACCACCAAGTGCTCACCAACAGACCACCAAGTGCTCACCGACCCACCACCAAGTGCTCACCAACAGACCACCAAGTGCTCACCGACCCACCACCAAGTGCTCACCAACAGACCACCAAGTGCTCACCGACCCACCACCAAGTGCTCACCAACCCACCACCAAGTGCTCACCAACAGACCACCAAGTGCTCACCGACCCACCACCAAGTGCTCACCGACCCACCACCAAGTGCTCACCAACAGACCACCAAGTGCTCACCGACCCACCACCAAGTGCTCACCAACAGACCACCAAGTGCTCACCGACCCACCACCAAGTGCTCACCGACCCACCACCAAGTAAACTCACAGTGTTTGTGTGCAATTACCTAAGTGTGGTTACCGGATGAGAGCTACACTCGTGGTGTCCCGTCTTCCCAGCACTCTTTGTCATATAACGCTTTGAAATTACTGACGGTTTTGGCCTCCACCACCGTCTCACTTAACTTGTTCCAACCGTCTACCACTCTATTTACAAAAGTGAATTTTCATACATTTCTCCGGCAGCTTTGTTTCGTTAGTTTAAATCTATGACCTCTTGTTCTTGAAGTTCCGGGTCTCAGGAATTCTTCCCTATCAATTTTATCGATTCCTGTTACTATTTTGAACGTAGTGATCATATCGCCTCTTTTTCTTCCATCTTCTAGTTTTTGCATATTTAATGCCTCTAATCTCTCCTCATAGCTCTTGTCCTTCAGTTCTGGGAGCCACTTAGTGGCATGTCGTTGCACCTTTTCCAGTTTGTTGATGTGCTGCTTAAGATATGGGCACCACACAACCGCTGCATATTCCAGTTTTGGTCTAATAAAAGTCGTGAACAATTTCTTTAGTATTTCTCCATCCATATATGTGTATGCATATATACAGAGAAGCATATGGTCACCTCTTAGTGTACATATCCCTGTTGATGAAGTCTTGAATTTGTTAAATATTTTAATTGGTGAGCCAAATGATCAAGTCACGTATTAAAAAAGTTGTACAGGGCTTTCTATCACAAGAAAATCTAGAAATTAATACTTAATGGGCCAATGAGTACATAAATATACAGTATTCCTTTAATGTTAATGCGTCTTAACACAAAGAATAAAATATGCTATACCATAGGAGTACAGTATTAAAGCCAATAAAGTATGAAACGATTGAGGATTTTAGGTTTAGGATTTAGAGTTTAGGCCCATCAACTGTAGGTCATTTAAGGTCAGAATACTCATAAAGTAACAATATACGGTATACTGTAGTGTCTACAAGTACTGACACACAAACGTTGATATTTACAGCAAACTAACAAGAAAGTCATTTTTTGGCGACCCATAAAAGTAGGCCTGAAATACAGTATTGTACTGTATTAGCAAAATATAACAATTTAAAATAAACATTAAAACTGGCTACAACTCTGCAGACATCTCTTGGCCTGAACAATACAGCCACAAGTATACTAGTACTGTACCTCGGCCTGAACAATACAGCCACAAGTATACTAGTACTGTACCTCGGCCTGAACAATACAGCCACAAATATACCAGTACTGTACCTCAGCCTGAACAATACAGCCACAAATATACTAGTACTGTACCTCGGCCTGAACAATACAGCCACAAATATACCAGTACTGTACCTCGGCCTGAACAATACAGCCACAAATATACTAGTACTGTACCTCGGCCTGAACAATACAGCCACAAGTATACTAGTACTGTACCTCGGCCTGAACAATACAGCCACAAATATACCAGTACTGTACCTCGGCCTGAACAATACAGCCACAAATATACCAGTACTGTACCTCGGCCTGAACAATACAGCCACAAATATACTAGTACTGTACCTCGGCCTGAACAATACAGCCACAAATATACTAGTACTGTACCTCGGCCTGAACAATACAGCCACAAGTATACTAGTACTGTACCTCGGCCTGAACAATACACGGCCACACCCACATACTAGCACCTCAGCCTGAACAATACACGGCCACACCCACATACTAGCACCTCGGCATGAACAATACACGGCCACACCCACATACTAGCACCTCAGCCTGAACAATACACAGCCACACCCACATACTAGCACCTCAGCATGAACAATACACAGCCACACCCACATACTAGCACCTCAGCATGAACAATACACAGCCACACCCACATACTAGCACCTCAGCCTGAACAATACACAGCCACACCCACATACTAGCACCTCAGCATGAACAATACACAGCCACACCCACATACTAGCACCTCAGCATGAACAATACACAGCCACACCCACATACTAGCACCTCAGCATGAACAATACACAGCCACACCCACATACTAGCACCTCAGCATGAACAATACACAGCCACACCCACATACTAGCACCTCAGCCTGAACAATACACGGCCACACCCACATACTAGCACCTCAGCATGAACAATACACGGCCACACCCACATACTAGCACCTCAGCCTGAACAATACACAGCCACACCCACATACTAGCACCTCAGCATGAACAATACACAGCCACACCCACATACTAGCACCTCAGCCTGAACAATACACGGCCACACCCACATACTAGCACCTCAGCCTGAACAATACACGGCCACACCCACATACTAGCACCTCAGCCTGAACAATACACAGCCACACCCACATACTAGCACCTCAGCCTGAACAATACACGGCCACACCCACATACTAGCACCTCAGCCTGAACAATACACGGCCACACCCACATACTAGCACCTCAGCCTGAACAATACACAGCCACACCCACATACTAGCACCTCGGCCTGAACAATACACGGCCACACCCACATACTAGCACCTCAGCCTGAACAATACACAGCCACACCCACATACTAGCACCTCAGCCTGAACAATACACGGCCACACCCACATACTAGCACC